TTCATTACAGTTGATTGATAAGTGAGTAGTTTTCGTAGCAAGTGTTATTAGTAGGGCCCGGATAAATATGTAAATACATATTATTAATTTACGTGATTTTCGGTCTAGAATGTGTTTTTTACATGGATTGTCATATTTAGACTGTGAAAAACCAACTTTTATTTTCCATATTTTTCCATATTTTACCATATTTCAAAGTAAAGTCCATATTTTACAAAAAAAATGTCACAATCATCCATATATTCACAAAAATACATAAAATTTACGATCCCGCCACTAATGTTTTGGATAAAAATAAAGGATTTAATAATAATACGCTAAAAAAATTAACAAAATTCTGTGCGAAAAATTAGAGGGCTGTAGACAGGGCTTGCACAATTACTGAATTAAGCATGTTTAAGTATGCACCCATCACGTCATGTGACTTGATATGAGACTAATCAGCAGATGTAATGCTATATGTCGACCAAATGGTCAGTTTTCATTTTGATAATTTAAAGAAGCACGTCATTGTGTATTGCAACCAATTTGATAAGGCTAGTGTAATGGAAGTTGAATAAAACTGTTATTTTTTGTTGAAATAAATATTTCGCTACTTTTTTTCATCGTTTTTTAAATGTAACTTAACGATGTACGTCATGAGTGACCCTTTTCTTATGGTAAAACAATGTTTAACTATGAAAGTATTTAATTTTATACTCCATAGTTTTTCCATATTTTTGATTTTTTCGTCCATATTTTATGTACGTATTTTAGATTTTTTAATACATATTTATCCGGGCCCTAGTTATTAGGAACTTCCAGTGAAGTAGCAAGGGCTTTCATGGAGAAAATAAAATTCCTCTTTAACAATCATTTTGTTAACAGTGTCTGCTTTTTGCTAAAATTTAATTTACATAGGATTTTTAAATACTTATTTTCTTTGTATGTAAAAACCGAAATATTCAAGCATTATACTTAAATTGGGTGAACAGATACCTAAATATATTAAACCTTTTTTTTGTTTAATGCTTATACTATGGAAATTTTATTACAAAATTTACATTGCAAGAACGAAAATACGTCTTCATTATATTATACGAGAATGTGAGAAAAAAAATTATATATGTAGTATCTGTACACCAAATGTTTATAAAAAGAATGTAAAAAATACTATTGAACCTAAAATAATAATAAAATACTAAAAAGTGTAAAAAAAAAATGAAAGAAATACAGAAGAAAACTAGCTATTATGCTTGTCTCGATATTGAAAAATATGAATGTCAACAGAGCATTGAACTGTGGACATCACTTAACTATCGGTAATAGCTTTTTCTTATAGTAGTTAAAAGAGCACAAACTCGTAAACCTGGTTGATTGAACTGCAATAGAATACGCCAACATTCAGACTCTTATCTAACACTTTTATTTATATAACCATTATAAAATTATAATGGTTTATTTTTATGTTCATATTACCGTGACTTCACAATTAATAACTTTATAAATTCATATGGATCCGCCCCTTTATAAACTTTATTTATAAGGAAAAAAACTATATTATTTATGATGGAATAAAATCATTTGATAAGTTATATTAATTATAGGTAATAAAGACAGGTCTTTCGATCAATCAATAACCAATTAGAATAAAAAAGAAATTAAAAATTGACATTTGTTGTCGTGACACTGAGTTCAATAAATTTATTATCAAACTATAACAATGCTATTTTGTTTAGTAGCTGGATTTATTTTAAATGTTTCAGCAAATTTTTACGCAACGAACGTTTCACCGACGTCGGAAAAGGAAGCCAAGTCGAACGTCACGCTCGAACAAGTGCTGATTTTAAAAGTATAGCACCGATATTTTTTTTGGATTTTTTTTATTGAGATATTTCATTATTTATTGTAAGACATGTGGCAATTTTAAATAAAACGCATTTAATTTTTAAATTCAAGAAATAGTGTTTCTTAAACTATAAATATCAAAAACGAAATTTGCACCTGTCTCCAACATTGTAAAGCGATTTATTGATTTAAGAGAAAAACTAATATTTCTTATTATTGAAAAGAGATATGGTAACCAACTGGTAGCGCCATCTGTAGGTTGTATCTCGTGACTTAGAACGAAATATAAATATTTTGACGTGGGCCCTCGAAAAATAAAGTTCATTGGGATATAAAATAGCTCATGTATTCGTCTAATTCGATTTAAATCTTTAATGTCATGTCAAATACAGTCATCGAAACAGTTTCAAATTATTGAATATAATAAAAATACTCTACATTAAATCATTAATGTATACTAAATTAAATTATTATTTACTGAACCAATGTTAAAGAACATTATTGAAAACAGTTGCTTGGAGGAAAGGAAAATTTTAAAACCCTTTTTAAATTTAGTCTTTTACTATTTATGGCTTTCATAACAGGTTTACTGGTTTTTGGTTTATAGGTTTATTTGTTTATTGGTCGTCATTTTGTCTCTAGCATGCAACTAGCACTGGTATTTTATTTCACTTTTGACATTCATATTACGAGCGGCAAAACTTAATGAATCTATAATACTCTAATTTTCTTTCACCTATTTAACATTTAAGGTGAGAAAGATTGGAAGATTTTCAGTTCCCATATCGTTAATAATCGGATATTTTCGCAATAATTAATAATTTTATTAATAATTAATAATTAATTGACTTTAAAATAATAGTTATGAACGTAACACACTTTAATAACCATAGCAAAATATTCCATTACAAACCATCAAAAACCTGTCCCATTATATTCAATACCAGTAAGCAATTATTTACATCTCATAGTCAAGTTACACAGATGCATAATATATTTATATTTCCTTCTGTATATAAAGTTGTTTACGTACAAACCTGTCTTGCATCCTAATTCTCAATCAGCTTTCAATTGTAATTTGAATGCTTCTACATTGAATATTTTTTTATAAAAATACGTACATATTTCAGTTAATTTCAAATCATTATCACTGGGGGTCAATAAAAACTCAATATAATGATAATAATGTATTCCTTTTATACAAAATTATTTACAACTTCATTATTATGCGCATATCAGTTGTCATAGAAATCATTACAATTGAGATAAATTAATATTCTGCCACGCGAATTTACACAGCTTTACCCTTATGATAAATCTATAACAGATCGTTAGGCACCTTTCCCTAAATACGGTTTGATAAAACTAAAACTATATTTACATAACTTATTGTCCATAGCGATGGTACTATGCAACTAATGAACTTCCATATATATAATAAAAGAAAAAAATTATATGGCCATTGTGCACTGTAGGCCATTTTGAAATGTATTATATATAATAAATTTATAAATTATTGAAGAACAAATTATTGCATAATCACATCCAATGGATAAACGCAGTTATTACAAGTCGAACCACGTGTTTTGTGTTAATGATGCCATTACACAGATAATTAACAAGCAAATATACATACACGTTCCATTATAAATATAACAATATTAAGATTAAGATCCAGTAGACATTAAATAGTATTAGAGACTAAAGACAATAATTTATTATACATAGAAGTTTTGTTTAGAATTATATTGTATGATAAATATATATAATAAAAAAACCGCGGAATCTAACATACAGTTCTATAATATTCAGTATTACCAAAACAAAGTATGATAAATATATTTAAAATAAACGTTTAAGCCGTATATACACCACGAGCATCGCTATGTTACATTACCACCTATATTTATACATTATAATACTTAATAGAATACAATCATTAAGACTATCCGAGTAACCGTGTAAACGTTCAATGGTCACCCGGTAATGGTATCAAACTTTATTGTCGAAGCAACGAAAAGCAATTTCAATAAGAATAAATAATCACCAAAAAAATTATAAAATTTCTATAATAAATTATCGAAGCTGTCATCAATATAAACTGAAACGAAAGATATTTTGCGACTTAACAAATGTTATTGAAACGATATACAAAAAAAGAGAAATATATATAAAAATTCGTTATCGTACAAACAATGTTTCAGTCTTGCTTTCGTTATATACATGGACAATAATTAGAACGTTTGTGATGTACGGACGCACAAAACAATTACATGTAAATATCACAATATTATATGTATATACTGTATTTAAATATGATGCGAAAAATACTTATTATAATTAATGATTTTTAAGTATATTACGCATCAGATTTATTAAGACAGAACGATCACGATGGACGACTCAATCAGGATTTTATACCCTTGCCATTAGTGGGCACCACGAACTGAATTCAGACAGTTAAAAGTCTTTCATTCATTTAACTAAATCATTAATAAATGTGCAGATTAATATATGAAAGACTAAAACGGTTCAATTTGTCGATACCAACTCATGGTAGGGGTTCTGTAGTAAACTTGTATGACGAACTCAATGAAGTGTTCAATATTGTATTCATATTATTTATTACTTATCTGTGTTCATTCTACTCAGTTGCCGGCCGGCTCATACTTTGTTACTCTCTATATTTACAGCGCCCTAAAGCTATTTCCTACCTCTTTCTAATCATAATATTTATCCATCGAATAGAAAGTGACAAACCATTCGATACACATATCTTTAAATACAACATTCAAACCATCCCTTAATAAACGTATTTTGTCAAACAACTAGCTGTATTTTCATATAATATAGTTTAGAGTACAATTCACTATTATAACTCATATAAATTAACTGGTTTCGATTGGTGTTATGATAATTCAATTCAGACGATTGATAATGCAACTCAGAACTCAATACGTTCCAAACGCATCATAGCCAGTGACTAATACCACAAAATGAGGTAGGCATGATATTAAACCGACTTACAAAATTGTAGCTCAATATTTGTTGTATTATATCATAGGCCCGATATAGTTGATTTAAAGACGTGATGACGTCATCAAATCAATATTAATGTCCTAGGTATGTATAATCTGTGCCACAGTGTATTAAACATGTTCGGTGTGTCATCGCTAGTGTGATCCGGAGTGTAGGTTGTGTTGTGCCTTTTTCTTCCTCTGTGCCAGCATGTCGTAGAACGGGTTGTGACTGATGGACCGTCTGAGGCATTCTATCCATTCGTCGCGCTCCTCAGCCGTGGCCGCTGACATTCTGTGGAAAAAAAAACCTTAGATATTAGATATATGATTCAAATTACAGTTTGATAGAGAATTTTATTACAAAATATAGTGCCATCAAACAGATCTTCATTCTTTGAGAATAATTTACATGCACATATCTCATACATAAATATCTCATATTACTTAACAACGTCATACGAAACATGGTTTAGGTTTAAACTTTTTGACATATAATATATATGATTTAATTAATGCTTATAGCATTTTAGTTTCAGAAGCAAAATATTATTAAAAACACGATTGAGTGATTAAAATTATTTTAATTTAAATCTTAAATTGAGAACAAATACCAAATAGTTGGATATCAATATTAATAACTAAAAAACAGCCAACAGTCACACAAATTAATAAATCTAATGTGAGTAAAATATGATAACTCAATCATTTCAAATCCCGCCGACACATCACAACGAGAAATCTTTCCTTATGAAAGCTATCCAACAAATGCCTTATCCTATCCTACAAGCTACTATCCCTATCCCTATTATAATATTTGTGAAGTGTCTTTTCTGAAAGCAGAAAGTTAACCCTAATTATCCTTATAATATTTGGATGGTGGAGGTGAGCATTTAACGCGCGTTTGATAGGAGCCCCTTAAACATACACCTACGACTGTAGAAGCTCCTTTCTCTGCACTACTAAACCGTGAATACATGGAATGCTAAGAAGTTTAAGATGTATTTAATATATCTCACCGGTATACAGTATGTTTCCCTTCCACAACTTTTCCTTCAGAGTCAGTCTTACAAGCCTTGATGAGGTCGGCGCCACCACTAGCGTACAGCTCCAGGCAGTGAGGACGCTGCCGGTCACTCGCTGCACGGACCTGGAAAAAACATATACATTGTTTATATCACAGTCAGTCAAATAACTATTTTTGCTACTTTCATAGTACCATGATCTTGTTAAGCAAGAATTGAAAGAATTTAAGGTCATTTATGACTAAACATTCATCTGTTGTTGAGATATCATGAGACTATGTGAGTGTTCGGTTTAATATGAGATAACATTACAGTTACAATAAAGTTATAGACTGAAGTATGACAATATAAATCATAGGATATATCAGTTAATGAATATTTGTATGAATATTGTAGTACATAATTAGAAAATGTAAAGAACTGGTGGAGCTCTTATTAAAGGAATCATATAGCAAAAATTACAACATTATTGATAAAGACTGATAACATTACACATTTTGACCAATATTAACCACATACAACTAACAGTCACTACTAAAGAATCTAAAGCTGTAGTAATCAAATGTATATGTCACCTATAGGTGATATATTACCACAGACAGACACACACACATATAAACAAATTTTCTGCTTTGGTAGTTAAAAAGAAGTCAATAACTTGTTCATCTCTTGTTCATACATAACGTGACTCTCTGTTAATTATATAAATATAAACATACATACAAGTTAAAATTTATCAGTGTGAATTTAACATACTAACATACTTAGTTGTATGATAAGATTGATTTCCATTGCATTTCTTTTTGTATCTATTTGCTTAGGTAACAAACACAGCAAATATAGAATTCCAACTATTTATTTATATACATATGTATTAAAATAAATATAATTAACATTAAAATTACTGTAAACACATATATAGGAATACAAGACATCCATATGTTTGTGAATGCATTCTTAATATTACTTGTTATTCTGATAAACATATCAACCTACTTTACTTTGCATTTCTAATATCATTTTCAATATGTTTTATATCATATTTAATATTTACGTAAGATTTTTTAACACAATATACATATTGATAATAATTTTTAATAACAAGTTTTAGGTACGTACATTTTATTACATCACATTTTTTCCATTTCTTAAGAGTATGTTCATATAAATTTCTCAAGTGTATTTTCATTCTTTCAATATGAACATTTAATTAAACATACTGTATCATATTATTTCTATGTTACCTACTGTATTATACTATTTTCTTTGTTCTAATATCACATGATAATCCCTTCATAGTTTTTATTATATGTCATATCTGTCTTCTATATAATTCTGTATGTATGTATATATGTATGTGTGTATGTTTGTATGTTACATTATAAATACAAACCGATATGTTCTCCAGCGGTATGATCCCCCGCGGCTCCTTATCGGTGGTATACTCGAAGTAGTACAAGCAGTTGTCGTTTAATATGAACCATCGCCTCTTCCATGATTTATACCTGCAAGTTATAAAAACATATTAAAATTAATTAAAATCAGAAAGGATATGAAATAATAGTGAAGATTAAAATCATTCAGTAATTATATAAAATTTAATCTATACTTGGATGAATAAGACAAAAATCCAAGTATTTCAAAAAGTTAAACTTTTATTATTTGTGTCAATACCTTGAATTTTTAATATTAGATCACATTGTTTTTGTAACAGTTTCTTTATACACTAATAAGTAATATAAGTATATTTCTATATGTATATGTATATGTGTATGTATGTATGTTCCTGGCCCAGGCAAGTACCAATGTGATTTTCCCGAGTCATATGTACTTTCTAAGAATATTTAGACATTACTGATTAATGCTGATTCCCAAAATGAGGGTTGATGTCAGGCAGGCTGGCCAGTCATAAAAAACAATTAGCCAAAACTGGCTATAGCCGGCAAATTGCCAGGTAGAAGAAGATGTGTATGTATGTATGTATGTATGTGTGTGTGTGTATGTATACGTGAGTGGGTATGTATGTGTGAGTATGTATGCGTGTGTGTGTATATATGTACGTATATGTATGTATGTATGTGTATGTATGTGTGGGTATGTATGCGTATGTGTGTATATATGTATGTATGTTTGAGTATGTATGCGTGTGTGTGTATATATGTACGTGTATGTATGTATGTATGTATGTTACCCGTACCTTCCGCCCTGTTTCCACAGCCACCCCTCCTTGTCCGGGTTGAAGAAGGTATGCATCAGATCGTTACCGTCGTCCTCTGGTATCTTGAACGGCTCCGTCTTTATAGACTCGTATAGAGACTGAAACATTTACATATAATAATATATTAATATTAATTTTAAGAGAAAAAGACATTACTAGATAATTGCTTTAAATTATATTTGTTGACAATAATTTTTAATGGCTTTTATTTAATACATAATCTATTAATTATCATTATCATATCGTTATATATATTATAATGCATGTATTGATATCACAGTACACATATCTTAAAACTATGACTAACAAACATACTGAGAGTTCCACTTACTCTGCATATATCAACACATATTAGAACAAAAATATATAATAACATACACAAATAAGAAAATTATTACATATAATAATATAAATACAGACTGAACGTTTTCAACACTCAGATGTTACTAAGTATTGTACGATATCACTCTTATCAAATATTATAATATAGCTGTCATTCTGTTCATACATTTTCTTATGACATGTAAGATATTAAACATTGATTGTTAATATCAATATCTAGAATGCCTTCGTTGAGTCATTGTTTGTTTATTATTGAAGCAGAGTCGAGGTATGAATGCTAGTTTATTTTGAGTACGATAAGATCAATTTTATTGACATCTACTAACGAATGCGTCACAAAAGGTTAGTTGGAGACCAAACTTTGTATTAAAAAAAAACATATTATATAAAGTTTTATGTTAATTAATTTGTAAACATCATTCAGCTTACGTCAATTAATATATAATTTATTTAGAAGACGAAATAAACGTTTTGTTTGTTTTACATATAAATTTACATATGGAAAATCATGCGTATCAATCTCCCACACACCTATTACTTATAAGTATATTTTTATATAGGAATTACTTCAATAACATCTGTCATATTATAACACACACACATGCTTATATACCTGTGTATATATACAATATACAATTATGTAATAAATTTATTATATAATTTTAAAGGCGTTAGGTGTAATGTAATATATATATATTTTAATGAGACATTGTGTTTATATGTTTGTTCTGTTATCACGCGGCCCCGGACTGTGAACACACGACATATATTACATATATATCTAGCATGTATATAATAATACGTCGTCAGTACATAATGTACTATACAACTTTCATATGATATTATGAGTTTAATTTCTCTTAATAATTTTTTGTAATATTCTTCTTGGTATACATTATACGCAAGAAATTTACTCCGTCAGACTCATAAAATAATTCATGGACGTTTCTAGACATTAGTTCTGGATTTCCCTAAAGTATTTTAAATGTAATTATAAAGATTATATTTAAAACCATAGCAAACCGAATGCAATTTTATATTCAAAACACTTTGAACAACAAAATTAAACACTGATAAGACGTTACGAAAATTTGTATGTACATAATAAAACAATCAGCTAACATTATTATCATGTCAGATAATATATACGTATATAAAGACTTATATATAACGGTAACGACCAAAACAACTATCTTTTGTTCTTTCAAATAGCAATAAAAATCTGTCATTTTAAATGAATATAAAAGAAATAACTTTAATCTTAAAGAGCAAAAAAATTTTTCTTCATTGTTGAACCTTCCTCTTTGCATTAAAAATATACCTTAGTGTTGGACCTTTGCTCTCTTACTTACTTACAAAAAAAAAATACATATTGTCTCTATACACTCACCAAGAGCAGTTCCTGCGGTAAATCCCCTCCATTATTGATGCCCCTGTTCATAGCTACGAACTGTTCAGGCGACGGTTTATCTTTCACGCTGGGGTTATGTAGCGACGTGTTCAACATTATGATGGCGAAGCTGAGGACGTAGCACGTGTCGGCGTTCGTGAATATATCGGGGTTGAGCTGACAGTAACGCTGGGCGAATGATTCCATCATACGATCTATCTTCTGAGCCTCGCCCGGTAGACGGAAAGACCATAGAAATTGTCTGAAACATATGAATTTGATTATTGTAGATTATATAGTATATATTTAGTTATAATTTTGATCACATCCAAGATAACAGATTTACGCTGAAACAACAATGTTTTAGTCATTTAATTTTAGTATTTTAGTTGTTCAATAGTATATGACAAATACGCTACTGTGAGATTAACACAGTGTTCTTATTATACGAATTCCGTTGTATCTTAACTCCTCATAATGAAATCTTTAATATAATTACCTGTGTAATGATATTGAGAACTGGCTTGAAATATGAGAAACATTTAAAGTTAGAAAACCTCAAAATAACAGTATTTTATTATTCCATAACAAACGTAACGGATCAATATAAATTGTCAACCTAAATTTTGTTGTTGTTTTAACAGGTTCTAACGGTTCGGAATTTTAGAAGAGATAGATTCTAAAGGATTATATCCAGTTAAAGCGTTTTTTTCAAAAAATGATACCAAAACCAAAGCTGAGAATAATATATCAAAGGTATTGTAAATTCCATGCATATTTCTATCAAAACATTTGCGAACTGGTTTTTGGTGGAATAACATTAAAAATATTTACATATAAAACAGTTAGTAATGTCGCATAACAAATATTTCTAAAGCATAGTAATCGCCGAAAAGACAATAAAAATAATACTATATCTACATCTCACCTCAAAGCCTGAACTAGTATGAGGTCCGTGAAGTCGTGAAGTTCCACGAAAGCTCTGAGCACAGCCTCGTTGAAGTCCGATCTCTCCCCAAGATAGTCCCCTATAGCCGTTTTACTCAATCCCTCGCCCTTATGAAGAAACTGTGCCACGTCCTCAGCTGTCCTTTGTAATAAACCATTCTCGTACAAATATTCGATTCCTGAAAATTAAAATATTCCTATATGAAAACCTTAATTTAGTACGGATTTGCCTATTATTAAAAATAATTAAAGTATACCATGAGCTGGTCACTGACGAAGGAATTTCAATATGAACCAGTTTGGGAAAACTTCACAGCATAGAAATTTATATTTAGTAATATCGGGGAAATAAGGTCACTATGCAACCAAAATATGAAGTTAAAAAATGACACAATAATTCTTAATTAATCCATACGAGAAAAAACTAAATTTCTGGATAAGAAATTCATCCTTATGACGTCACGGGATATAAATTACATCGCTGACGTGTTTATGACGTCATACCACCCACACATTTCTTGTGATAGGGGTGGAAGTGTGGGTTTGACTGTATGAAATATAAGCATTAAGTATTTCTATTTTTCCTAAGAAGAAAATATAATAAACTGGACGAAAAGTATTATTTAGTCTTCACCCAGAATGTACTGAATGGATCTTTACGAATTTATACAGTAGTGTATAGCTAAAATCCGGGTTGTTCCCGCGGGAACGTGTTATAAGAGTTGTATTTTGTAATTCCCATTACAGAGAATATAGATAGCATTGCTAGTTAGTGCCTACATCCATTTTTCTAAACAGACAGGCTTCTCTATGAAACTAATACCGTATAGTAGGAAGGCAAATCTCGAGTAAAAGCTAGTATAATATACGTACAAACTTATAATATTCTCGACATAAATAAGCAGAAAAAAAGTCATTACTGTGAACAGGTCATTATGGTTTAAAAAAGTTTTTCACACGTCATAGAGCATAGTCATTAGTCACATTGAAAAAATCTAGTCCTTACAATGTTGAAGGTGTGCTGAATTGATAATGACAGTGACAGATTACAACTAGACTGTTCAACAACATGATAACAGGGTAGGGCTTGATCGTTTACAAATTACGTTATATAACAAAAATAACGGGGCGCCTTCGAGGAGTTTAGAATTGCGTTTTTTATACGATCTAAGACTTTCGCGAGTAGTCATTTAATAAATTACACTATTTTTTTCGGTTTATTGTGTTTTATTATTTTTTTAAAAACCACATACTCCCGATGTTTCGGTTACTTTTGCAGCAACCCGTAATTTTAGTAGTGATTAGTTTCATTTTTCCGATTTTTATGTCATCAATTTAACTTGAAATACAATTTTAATTATAATTTATGTTAAACAAAATATAATAAAAATTCAGCGTATTTTTGTATTTATGATAATTCTGAAATTCCATGGCATGGCATTGCATCTATTTCCTATTCCCCTACAGCAGAAGTGCAACAATTTACTTCGCAATTTTACCTTCGCCACAATGTGTTGTCGTAATTACCATACTAATGACACAATTAAGTAATTACTTTACAATTATAGAGGCCCTCTTCATTCCCACTACTATAAAATTACACGGGAAACGGTGACATTTACTGATATCAAGATTTAGTTTCTAATATATTTCATGTTAAAATTTTCGAGAAAAAATTAAATAATCATAATTGCTTTATTTCAAATGCTATGCTTAAAAAATCTTGAGATATTTTTTGTCTATATATGGAACATTCAGACTTTAGAATTAAGGAAGTCTATGAAAGAAACCAGAGATTGAAAAGAAAAAAAGTACTGAGGAATTCTGGCGCTAGCATTTAATTAAACCGCAGCCTCATCCTACATCTACACAGAATACGGGTTGCAATTCATTGATAAAATGAAACCTTTTAACATATGCAAGTAATACAAAACAATGAAATCTCTTATTAACAATTTAGATAGAATATTATAGCTCTGATAAATCCGAGCTCTATAATATAACGAACCTCATCAAAAGCATTGTACGGCGCTTGCAAATCTCAAGAGACGGCTGGATAACTTAATACGGTAAGTCGTAAATGATGACTTTTATTTTTCACACAATACTAGCTATTATAGTAAGACTGGGAAGCTTCTTGTAAGACTTATGAGGATCAGTATTGAGACTTAGGACTGCGGATGCTGAAATTTCATTCCAACGGATAAAATTAACAAAGATTAATCTTTCTAATTGATATTATACTTATTATTTAAAAGAAAAAATCTTTAGTGGATTTTTATTGAAATCATAACGTGTACATACAAAATATTAAAACAATACAGACTTAATAAACGTATTTAGCTCGGAGTGTTGTGTTATATACGATAAGGGTATAACACATAATTGCGTTTAATCAAGCATCCTGTTGAAATATCGGCTTTATAAACGTATGAATAACCAAAGCGGAAAGCAATATCTCAACATACAAAGTTAAGTTATAACAAACATATACAATCTCTAAACAGCCATCTGCGCTCGATGCCATCTCGAGTGGTACTCAATTACTGAAGGGTTCGTTTGTGTCAAGAGGATAACTTCAAAGCTAATAGTGTCAAAGATGCTTAGTTATAACAGCGGAATCAGTATTCATCTAGTATATAATTGCTTCGTTTGACATACAGAGCATATTAATTTACTGAGGTTAGTGCTTTACGTTAGTGATATGAAAAATCATAACACTATTCAGATAATATTGAATACAATAACAAACGATGTATTATATTCATTGTTTATGCCCTACTCTCGACTGTGGAACAACGACATCAACATATATGTCACATTCAAGGCTTGCACAATATAGTATATTAAAGAAATATTATAAGAATCGTGGGACGGGTCAATTTATGTCAACAATGCAGTGTCAGCTAACGTGGGAAAGGCACACCTGCTGCATGATGTAAACTCCAATGAAGCATCGTAAAGCTAGCACAAACCACTGATAATACTTTATTCTGTGCACGTAATCCGTTACCTTCACGTACAATGGATTCTGCGGTCGCTATTAGCATATTTAAAAAAAACAATATGCAAAAATCAACTAACGGGCGTTTACAATAAAACTTTAGTAATGATAACAGAAGCGTTAGTTTCATTTACGTTTTGATTGTTTCCTAAACATTGTTAGTTATTTCAAAATTACCTTCACTATAAACAATTTTCCTCGTGAAATGTACATTTTATGGAATAAAAGTGCCCTTCAATCTATGTTATTTTAGGTATAGTTACGTACCTTTCTTAGGGTCCATATTAAATTTCTTCCTCCCTATGCTCATCTGTTTGGCTTTGCTGTTCTGTTTGCACTCCTCCTGTCCATCGAGGGCTTCCAGTTCGGCAACCACCTCGCCGAGCTCATCTTTAAGTTGCTGTAAACAAAGAAAAGTGCCTTCAATAATCTTATTCAATAAACAAAACTTATTAAAGAACCTTGAATACACAGGCTACATACAAAGCATCACTAGAATATTATAGACAAAAATTTTGCAAATTTGATAAATGATGTTGAATTACAAAACAAACGTCAGTGATCTCACAAGGCAAACCGCTATCGACTGGGAATGCAGCGGTCGTATCTATCAAACGGTCTGCGATTAATGAAATTGTAACAGAATTCAAATAGCATTATAGAAAATGTATCTCAGAAATATTAGGTACACTTATATTATCAAGTAACTTAATTATAAGCAAAATTTACATACATTGCTTTACGAAATTTTCAATAGTTTTAAATAATTTTATTACGACATTTCAAATGTTTAAATGAAACTAATATTTTCGGATTTTTCGGCATCTCGTCTGCCCGTGATCACGGTTACTGAAAAGTAGCCGAAACGTCGGGAGTATGTAGTTTCTAATAAAATAAAACGCGAAGTAAAATCCGAAAATATTAGTTTCATTTAAATGTGTACTCGCAAAAATCTTAGATCTCATTATTTCAAATGTTAATAAGAATAATAAAGGTATCATACCATATAAGCTGAGCTAAAAAACAACAAGGATTTTTCGCAACTAATTAATGAAAAGTAATTTTATAACTGACACGTCTGCGTGTTTGAATAAATTACACATTATACGATACATTACCAAATTATTATCTTGTAATGTTGATGGTTGGGCAAAAATTTTATGATAATTCGTTATGTAGAACGGTGTAACTGTACTGTTATATTATAACGTTAAATGTAATTGAAACATCGCTTTAATTGGTCGTTTATTATACGCTCTGTGATTTGATACAAAAAATATAAAATAAAAATTTCAAAGAGCAGTCGCCTGATTACTTAAAGCCTTTGAGATGTAAACAGCTTCATTCAAACAAAGAAAATATTCAAGATCATTACCTAAGCAGAATATTACAATTAATCTATGAATGTAACAGAACCTAAATTTCATTGTTGGAAATGCTCTTCTTCTGTGCGTCAACTACAATAGAATGGGTATAAAGAAAATTTATATTCAGTAAAATGGCAGCAAAAGTAAAAGAGAAAATCCCACGCGAAACGAACGAATTCATACTTCAAATATTATACCTAGCCTCGTCTAGCATAGCCTTTTCACATCATTTTATACTTATAAATTGAAATGTTTATACGTATATATTCATTCTATGTAGAGTGCATAAGATAGAAAAATAAAGGGAACAATTTTGACACCAATTATACACTCATACAGTTTGTGTAATAAAAATCTATTCATATGCAGGAAATATATAGGTTATATGAAATATAGGGTTACTTCTTGTTCACTCTTCTGTAATTTTTTCGCAGAGTCCATAACTTTGTTTCCTCTATATGTTATGGGATAACTATTAAAGAACGCGTATTAGCATTAAACTCATATTTCGTATATTTTTGTATTAGGATGAAAGTAAATACAAAAAGAAGACATTGTTACTCATTCAAAACTGACCTACCTTTATTAAAGAATGTTAGTTTTATAATATAATTAAAGAAATATGCTGAAAATCTTGTCATATTTTTTGCAATTAAAATGAATAACGAGAACAAAATAGATATCAATGTAAATAAATTAGAATTAATACATATAAATTCATCACAAACCATTTGAAAGTAGAACGCGCAAATAATACTTGAAGCAATCAAGTCAACAGAGCGCAATGCGGACATACATATAAAGGACAAAACCCGTACTACATAGTAATAGAAGGTATAAATACAATGATATATATATATATATTAATTAATTAATTAATATAATAAAAATAATATTAATTTCAACAGAAAATATGTGTTAAAAAATCTATTAAATATTATTATTATTTAAAATGACGTATAAATATTCAATATAGTGTTTTAGGAGTAAGAGGGTTATAATAATCCTATATTTATCATAACCATGATATTTTTAGTATGTAGTCATAGTTTTTAATTAGCAACACAAAGCTCCTTCATGGTCTAGTGAGGGGGGTAACATCATTTGCGGTCGGCAACCCGTCCCCCACGGGAACGATACCCTCTTCCTCGTCTAGACGACATTTATGACAAAGGTAACAATATCTATTCAATAAAAATAAACACTCTAATATCTGACCAATTAATACGAAAAATATATGAAAAAAATTAAAACGACTTACTTGTTTTGAGACATTTTTTATGTATTACATTTACGAAAACGGTTTAAATGCTAAAGTGTTGTTGTTTTTAAAGAGAATTTAAGTAGACATTTTGCGGAGGTGGCAAAGAGAATGTCAGTGTGCCAGTCCACGTCCTTGCATTTACTGTTTACACTCATTGTTTCTTTCAGTGTTTGCGAAATCGTATCCAGTTAATAATATGAAGATTAAGATAAACACGATTACCGAATAAGTTTAAAAAATAAAATATACAAAATAATGGTCACTTTACTTAAAGCTTTATGAGGAATAATAAAAGAAAATATAACAAGGATTTTCAGTTAACAATAAGACAGCAATTAGCGTAATCTGTGTGTACATCGATACAATACTATTCTATGTTTATAATACCGTCTAGACAACTTTTTACTTGGAGCGGCAGATGCCTGAAAGTTACCATGCGAACTTGAAATGCAGCTTAGAAATCTGAATACTCTATAAAGCAATCAAACAACGTTTATTTATAGCTATTGAAAATGTTAAGACCGTTTCGAAGTGTACCACTTTTTAACACGTAACATTATAAAGTATGTCAAACCATGGATTTATCGTACTGGGATGAAAGAAAAGTTTATCTTTCTATGTGATTTCGTGTAAGGGAAAAGTGTTTTTAACGCGAATGAATACTTCTATATTTGAAAACCTCAAATTCAGATATGTATATCGGATCTAAATAGATTTATAGCTTGAGCTAAAATAGATTCGACTAGACTTACAGACTAGACGTACAGTTAACAGTCTCTCAGATAGATTCGAAATAACCTTGACCTTTATCAATCAATTGAAGCTTTCATACAGAGACTTTCTAAAATAAAATCACTTTGAATATTAATATTTGATCACAATACGAGAATAAATGTTCTTGATAAACCTCTGCTAAAATTGGATCATTTCACTCAGCTTTCTCAAAGTACAATTGCTATCATACTTGTGAGATCATATATGCACCGAGGCCTTTCACCGATAAAAATGAATGTGCTAAATGTCAATAAAATTGTAAACATCGCGTGACGAAATGCTTTTTAATACCATGGAAATTATATATTCAAATGGAGAGAGAGCATTTAAATAGAAATCTCTAACCAGAAACACTAACCTTATTATATAACGAAAATATAAATATGATATTTCATATAAAATATACTATCAAAGTAAATAAATACTGTGTCTCGTACGTAGACACCGTTGCGGGGATTAATTTACAGACAGTCGCTCGATCAGAAAGTTTATCTAGCGTGGAGGCGCTGAGCTGTATTGCAAAGTCCAGGATAGTTCAGAACAGTCTCGACCCACGTATTAGTTTTAACTAAGCCCAAACTACTACTTATACTGATTTCCCGGCGTTGTATACTACATATTAACTATAGTCTTTACTATAACTTCCACAACGGGTGATATCAAAAACTAATTTTATAATTAATTAATCACTTTTCCGTCAAACATTATCCGTATAAAATATATTTTAATATCGTTTGAATCAAAATGGATAGTCGATTGCTAAATATTAAAAGTATACTTGGAGATATTTAAAAATTGTAGCGTCTATTTTGATTAATTATATTTTATAGTATCAGAAAAAAATTAAGGGAAGTCAAGGCGTTTAAAACATTTTATATAACATCATTCACACTTAAAATAGGTACGGTTACACGAGAAAAACGTGCATATAATACATAGCACCTAATTCCCCCGATGCTTTGAACGATTGACCGTAAAAAGGCGTTACGGCTAGCCGGGTTTTAATCACGAGAATACAGCCTAAGATACAAACACGAAATAAATACTCTACGGGCTTTTAATTTTACAATTGTTCCTGCCTAGAACTATTATTCTTGCTTCAAAGATAAATCTTTTAAATGACTGTGCTGAATCTACTGTCATAAATTCAAAGAATGCTCTAACCGGAACTTATCTAATCCATCAAAAGAATTGCATTATTATATCAGACACCGTCACACTTTCCTACATTGAAATTAATTAACCAATTACATCTAAAGAAAATTTTATTACTTTATATAACATCTTTATTTTATAGAATTTTTTACCATCGACTTGAATGTTTTGTTTCAAAATACATACCTACACGTTTTATATTATCATACAATACATATTGAGAGGATAGCATTTTTTCATACGTAATTATTTTTTTCGTTATTTGTATGAAAATATTGAAATCTTTTGAATATTTGATTTTGATAATGTAACTGCAAATGTTCAATCCCGCACCTTAGTAGCGCCATTCAAAGTATCAGAGTCCTTAGCCAATCAGATTCATTTAGTCGTCATAAATCTACATCAGGAGTCATAGTATAGTGGAGCGAGACTGCAAAAGACCATTCGCAATACCGTTTCATACTCATCATTCTTAACTATAATTGGTTAAACGTATTAGACGCTATAATTTAATTGAGGACATACAAAAATTCCAATTTACTTTAAAAACACGTACTTCATGTATCGATTATAGAAATCGTCTGTCGTATTGGTGTAATGTCAATGGACAGTTTGCGAATCCTTCGAGACTTTCCCCCTATTAATTCACTTTCCCCGCGTTCAGCTTCTATTCCGCAACCGGATGCGTATAGGACTACTGTTGTAAACGATGAAAGTGCTGTTGAATTGTTATTTTCAAGAAAATTATCACTATATATTGGGGATGTATATATTTTTTAAACTTAATCAAATTTTTATAGCTTTATTTTCTTAAAGAAAATGGTATTTTTTTATAAATAA